CCCCCCCCACAGCCTCCCTCATGACAAAATTGCGAACGTTGGGTGGGAGGTGCAGTCTTGTTCGCTAATGATGGAGAGGAAGTAGGTCTGGAGCCCTGCCAATCCATTTCTTTTTTCTTTCCGCAAGGGACGGAGACCGTATTATATCGTTCGTAGTATTCGTTTTCCACTGATTTTTGTCGCTAACCCATCCCCCAAGAACTGGGAAAGAACGGGCTGGCTTGCGCCAAACCCGGCCTCACTGACACGCCCCATCACCTGAAGCGAACAAGGCTGTAGCATAGGAGTATTCGAAAGGTCGTATTTGGCAACAACTTCCCGATGATGCACCCTGTCCCCCTCCCCCTCAGTATACCCCCTTAGTCCCTTTCAACCGACGATTAGGCTAGACGTTGGATAAGAAGACAAACGATTCAACTGTTCCTGCTTGTTTGGGTGCGTGGGCCAAGCAGTGATTTCTTGCTTCTCCTAGGGTGCACCGCATACACATCCATTAAAAATCGCAGACGTGATTGTAGGCGTATTTGTCCGGTGCGACAATTAAATCCGGCAAAGGTTTAAACTGTTGTTTTTTCTTAGAATGTTTTCCAGCCTTCAGTAGAGCTACTCAACCTTAGCGGTGTTCCATGGGCCGTGTAAGTAAGCGGCCTTTAGTTTTCTTAGTTTAGTTCCTGAAGTAGAGATAATATTCAAAGTTCCTCAGACCTAGAGCCTCCAGGGGAAGGTGCCTCTACAGAGAGCTCGTCGTGCTATGAGTAGTTTACCCTCGACGCTCCACTGTTCGCCTGAAGCCGTGGTAGCGAGGCACATCGTGTGGGAACAGGCAAAACGTCCAGGAGTTATCACAAGAATGCTGAGTTGTGGGCAAACGTCGTACCCCAGGCGGGAGTCGAAATGCGGGTTCGACTCCCGCCTGGGGCACGACTTTTGCCCACAACTCAGCATTCTTGTGATAACATTCGGAACGCGTACTGCGGCGTTAAACAGCAGTTATCATAACAAAACAACTTTCAGTAGTGCGCCATGCACTTGACCTCAGTTGAAAACTTCGAGCGCCTTTGCTAAAGTCGCATGATCTGGGATGACTTTCATCTACACCGAACAAGTGTCCCTGCTTGCCTTGCGATATTCCTATAAATCAAATGCAAATATCGTGCAATGTCACAATTGACAGCATGTGATTGATGTGTCACAGCTCTCGTTCACAATGGGGCGTGAGGAAACGTGAAAATCCGAAGCCTATGAATATTCTGGATATTTGCACTCTGTATTCGTTGCATTTTCTTTTTTGAAGTCTTTCACTTTCCTCACTTTCCAGTCAAACTTGTTTTAGCCTTCGCCGGTGCAACGCCTCCTTA